TCATTATAGCTTTCAGTGGTCACAGACTGGTTAGATTGATGCAACAATTACTTTTATCCTATAGCAGTGTGCATAGCAGTTTACAGTACCATGAAAACCAGACAGTCAGAATGAAGCTTTTCAGATCACTACCATGTTAACTTTTCTATGTTCCATGATTCAAGTATAAGACCTCTTCACTAATAGGATCTAACCATGAATTTCTGGTAAACAAACATACAAACAAAAAACCATGAGCAAAGGCAATAGCTTTTCATGTGTGAGTGTCTATTGAACCCCACTGACAAACATCTTGAAAATAGCTAACCCATTCTGGGGTGTTGCAATATGAACTCATGGCTACTGTGATGGCATGCATAAGACCTGTGTAAGCTCAAGCCAGACAAATCCCATCATGAAGACTGGAGGTGGGCACAAAATATCACTCCATAACTGGGGACTTGTTGGCAATTGGTAGCTGCTAGGAGATAGCATTATTTTTTTAATATGCTATCCTTGGTAAATCAATCAAGCTCCTGAGGATTGTCCCCATACCCAAGCATGTTTGTGAAACATAAATTTAACAAAAATAAAAAAAAAACCCACAAAAGAATAAAACATGAAGGTGGTCAGGTACAGAGATGAGGTGGACCTAAGAATTGAGAGGGGGGATTTGAATATAATCAAAATATGTTGTATAAAATTATCATATAATTAATAAGATATCACTTTAAAAATAGAACTGAGGTATAGGAAAAGTATTTTTAAAGACTGAAGTGATGACAATTTGAGAATAGGATCCAAATTCAGAATAATGAATAATTTTAAATGGGGCCAAAAATTGAATTAATTTCAATGTGAACAAATTAGTAAGGCATATAAACAACAATTAAACAAGTCACTTCATGAAGTTTATTTAATCTCCATAACAACTTTGTGAGGTTGACATTTACTATTTTAATCTCAGTTTTAAAAGCATCAAAATGAGCTTAGGGGAAATAATAAAAAAAAAATATATCCGTGTGTTTAAGATTAGGGAAAACACAGATTCTTGACTAGCCTAAATAATTTGTTTATTTAATGATATGCACTTGAAGTCACTTTCTGACTTTCAACCATAAGGAATTATGCCTGGGTTGTCTTGTTTCACCCTTATTGGGGGTCCTTAGTATAGGCATAAAAAGACACTAACTTATATCTGCGATGCTTGAGAGACCATGTTTGAAAAGACATGTCCCCGATCTTCTATCCAAGCCTACTAACATCCTCGCCTGTGGCTGGATTGTCATTGCAATCATCATGGTCATCTAGGACAGCCTTCTTTCACTGGTAAATTTTGGAGAGACCTCTACAAATGTTCATGTACCTGAACAGTCACACAAGTCAGTTTTGCCTTACCCGTGAACAAAGAAAAGTTGCAAGGTTGATGTTTCAAGCCACTGATTATAAATGGAAGATAGTAGAATAGTTATAGATAATTCCTTCACCAATAGAGAAGTAGACTCAAACCCTACTACTTCACAGAAGGATACCTTTTCTTCTCTGATACCAACACACTAAATTCAAGAAAATGTACAACAATGTCATGAGTTGGTAACAAGTATCATCATGTGTTCCTGAAGTTTTCCCTGCCCAGCCCCACAGACCCCACAGCCACTTATAAAATAATCACTCAGAAGCTTATATTAATTAAATCTGCATGGCCTATTGGCTCAGCTTTCTCAATAGCTATATCTTACATCTTAAATTAACCCATTTCTATGAATCTATACTTTGCCACATGGCTTGTGGCTTACTGGTATCTTTACATCTTGCTTCTCATGGCAGTGGATGGCAGCATCCTCTCTGTTCTACCTTTCAACTTTCTCCTCTCTAGTTGGAATGTCCTGCCTAATCCTATCTTGCCTCACCATTGGCTAAACAGCTTTATTTATCAACCAATCAGAGCAATACTTTCACAGCATACAGAGCAATACCCATAGCAATCATGAGCAAACTTCAGATGAGTTAACATATCAAGACAATATCCCGAAAGAAATATAAGATATTGTGATATATAAATACCAATGCAGTGTGTTAATGCTAGAATCAGAAGAAGAATTACTAAGAAATATATTTGAGAACTTCAGAGGAAAGAAATTGACAGTGTTTATAAAGCAGAAACCTTGGGAGACTGATATTTGAAATCATGGAGTGACCCTAAAGACAAGTTCTTCAATATTAGAATGGAACAGAGATTGAGCTCCCTCTCTCTGGGAACTCTTTAAAGGGGATTCGTCTCACAGGCAGCCCTGCAGTAGGTAGGTTGGTTCTAAATCAAGTCACACCAGGCAGTTAGCTGAGGCGTTAAGCAACTATTGAACTAATTTTCACCAGAAAGTCAAAGAAGAGGACTTGATTCTTAGAGCTTAAGGAAATCGGACCTCGTTAGACATATTCTCTTCTGTTTTTCTGTGGATTGTGATTACAGCTAAGGCATTTTCCATGGACTAGCCCTCAAGTCCAGAGGCACAGGAAGATTGCAGGGAGAGTTCAGAGGAGAAATATAAGTGGGATAAAATCATATTAGAATTGAAATATTGCAATACGTTTTGCTACAAAACACAAACAAAAGGAAAAGAAAAGAAAACACAAGCATAATAAAAAACAAAGTCTCAGAAGCATTGCCAAGCATAAGGAAATGTTGTTCATGACTCTGCAATGGTCACTTTCTCAGGAAAAGCCCAGAAGACAGTTCCCAAGTGAGGTTGAGCCTGTGGCCTCCAGTTCTGGGGTAAAGCATCAAGCTCCTTCACATTACTGTGGTCCAAATATCAAGAGCGATTTTTCAGGAGTTTAACTATATAGATAATACAAAGCACCACCCATCTCTTATCATCTTTCCCCAGTTTTGATCACACCCTTGGCAAGGCACAACAAAGCAAGGTTGACTCTTCAGACCATGGGAAGGCTCAAGTAAGATAATTAGGTACAGCTCTTGCCACAGGAAGACACCAGTTCCCACCCATCTCCACATCAATGTTAGTTTTATGATAGATACAGGGCCAGGACAATTTGTTTATGTACTTTACTGTGTTTTTATGATCTGCCTTTGGGATTGATTTCCAGCCCCCAGTTGTCTTGCTGGTATGACTGTTAGCACCCCAGTAGGTACACTGAAATAAAGCTTTGAGGGACTCACTGTTCTTATGGTTCTTATGGCCAGTGGTAGCCTGAAAACCAACTTGGCCACCTCCCGTCTCTTCCAGTAGTTTCTGATGATATGTCTTTATTTTTGTCTCTGTTCAGTACATTATCTACTCAGTCAACAAAACCCTTACTCTGTCATCCAAACAAAAATTAACACATCATTGAGTAAATAAGACTGAAAAATTACCAAAGATTGTAGGACTATCTGTGAGGTAAATTATTCACATTAAATCACGTAATCTAATTTGAAAACAATAAAAAAGCACACATACTTTTTTTTGCTTGTTTAACCAAGTTTCTATAAGTAAAATCAGAGGTATGATAAACTCCTAGCTTTTTATCCATATTTAAAAGTTCTTCAAGATTTTTACTGGAAACATCATTGTCTAATTGAATTTTCAGAGGGACTGTTCCATTGAAATTTCACTTAGTGAGTCCAATCAGAATAATATATCACGTTTTGGCTAATGATACTATTTTCCAGATATTCATCTTTTCCTTTCATTGGAGAATCTTTTACTCCTCAATGATATCTAACAAATCTGGACTCAGTAACATGAGCCATACCAGGAAGTGGTAAGTGGTTAAGGATGGCAACATACGTAGATCTTGACATGCTGTTCCAGTAAAGTACTGACTCGAGTCAAAGTACATAAGCTGATTTGAGGTTGGCAGAGCGTAATTTGGAAAATAGTAACTGGATTCGTATTTTAGGAGAGAGAAGGATTAAGGATGAGTACCGAGTGGGGTCAGAGTCTCATGATTTTGCACTTGCATTATACACACACACACACACACTCACACATACACACACACACACACACACACACACACACACACACACACACACACGACATGACTTTTGCGCTAGAAAGAGGGTTGGGAGAGCCAAAGCTAGTAGAAAAGGCATAGATTTCCTTATGGTTTGAGAGAGTTCTGCCGCCATGAGCAGATTTCAGCAAGAGCAGGGGAGGCTGTTTGATGGTAGGAAGGGAATCAAGGAGAGAGATGGGGCTGCAGGAAAAGCAGGAATTGGGGAGATGAAACAGAGTAAAGTCTGTGGGCAGCTATGTATGAAAATGTCACAATGAACCCCATAGCTGTATATATGCTGAAGAAAGAAACTGAATTTAAAATGATTATGAAAAGTTGATTTTCCAATTAAATTTGTTTCTAGAAAACTCTGATGATGTATTTCATCCTAAAAACATCAGGTAAACAAATAAATAATTTTAGAAACAAAGGTTAACACAAACATTGCAGTTTGCTCTATTCATAGCTTAAATTGGGGAAGATTATTCAAAGTTGTTTGGATTAGAATGAGCTCTTACTTTTTTGAAACAATCTTATTACACTAAACAATGATTGTAACTTTATTTAATATGCAACCATGAATGTAGAATATGTTATATGATTATTCTTAAAATATACATTTGTTCTCTTTGGAGACAGGGTCTCACCATATATCCCTGGCTCATCTGGAACTTGCTATGTAGACTAGACTGGCCTCAAACTCATAGAAATTCCATGAGTTTCTGCCTCCGAAGTCTTGGGATTAAAGGTATGTGCTGCAATAAATGTACTTTTTAAATTAACTGAAGTAAAATATTCTAAGCTTTCATATGTCTCTAAACTACAAAATAATCAGGAAGAATAAAGTCTAAAAGTACCAACAGTGTTAACAATACATTTCACCAGACAATTTTAATTTTGGCAATGTCACATACAGATAATTTTAAATTTTCAATTTAGTATGTAGTAATACTTTGATTGTGTCTTTGACAAAATACATTACTCAAACTGAAGGGAGAAAAGGTTTGATTTCTACTCACAGTTTCAAGAGGCCTCTGTCTATTACGGTGAGGAAGGCATGACCACAGGAGCAGCAGTGATGGGATGCTGAAGGGGTTGTTCACAGCACTGCAGGAGGAAGCACACAAGCAGGTTGATACCCTCCCTTTCTCTCCCCAGGTGCCTATGTCTATCAACCTTGTTTCACCTCTTCAAAGTTCCACAACCTCCTCAAACAGCCTCTAAGCTGGAAAGTACCTAAGTCTATTGTGGGAGAAGGGGTGGGGGAATCCACATGCAACCCATAACTGAGGGAAGACTTAGGATTACACATATCAGTGATTTTCACTGAAGATTTTATGAGTACACATTTGAGGGCAGCATTTACTGTTAACCAATTTGAAACCTAGGTACATGGTACCTTGTTTATATCAAATTGGAAATATTTCTCAAAAGGGAAACATTTTAAAAAATTTCCTTCAATTGCTCTGATTTTTCCCAGAGCCCACCTACAGAATCTTCTGCAAAGTCATCTTGGCTCAGAAACTACATCAAGAAGAAGAAAAAAAAACATATTTTCCCTGACATTAATGGGTTTATTTTTTTAAAGGAGAAATTAGAACACTTTCCAAATACGTAGAAATCCATTCAAAGAAATGCATGGTAGCAGCGAGACTCACTTTTATAGTGTGGCTTCATTCTTCTTGGCTGTTCTCACCATAGAAAACTAATTTCTAATTAGACTGAACACAACACAAGATCTTCAGCACATAATGACTACACCACTTCAAGTTTGCCACCGGCGTCTTGCAGCATATCTATCCAGGATAAGGAAGCAGGCAGGCCCAAGGCAACTGCAGTCAGTGGAGCTTCATTCTAACACCAAGTGCTTTCAAAATATCCTGCACCTCTAATGCCGTAGATAAACATTTTATCTCTCCACTTTTGATGGCATATAATTTTCAGCCTTTGATCTCACGTAATTTAAGGTGTGGTAAGATGGATTTTGGCAGAGCAGGCAAGGGAAAAGCAAGGTTTAGCACTTTTGGTTCCTGGAGATTCACATCCCAGACATGGGCTTGGCAAGCCCCAGGCCTGTGTAGCCAGTTCGGCTACAGGAAATAAAAGAGGTGCTATTTAAAGGAAAGAACTCGGGTTAGAAAGGAATCGCTGTTGTAAAAGATGTTCAACTCACATTGCCATATGGGGCTCTTGGAACATTTCCCATGTATATTAGCTGTATTCTTGGCACTTGGGGTTGCTTTTGGCTCCATGACATGCAGTTGCTGCTTTGAAGCTTGAAGGTATTGTCATATAGGCACACCTTTGCAGGAAAAAAAAATCATTGAAAACTTCAATAATAGGACTTGTTTGAAAAGCTCAGCTGTTTCATCTGTCTTGGAGTTCCAGTCTATAAATACACATTCCAAGACAGTTGAGCATGACTAGAACTTGAGACAGGGGCTTCCATTAGATTGCATAAGCATTGAAAAGAAGATTACATTTTGGAAAATTTCATAAAACAAACAATATCTATCAAATTCCAATGAACTGGAAGATGATACACTATCAGGTACAATTCTGTACAGCCACATAAAAATAATTTCTCAGTGTGTTCATTATCCTATGGCAGAACAAAACCCCTGAGGACAATATGCATAGTAATTCCTTTGTGCATTCATCCACTCATTCAGAAAATTACCAACCTGAGCCTGCAATGTTGTGACCACTTACTGCTCCCGCAGAAGAGGCAACATTGGTTCTCAGCACCCACACTGCAACTCTCAACCTCCTATAACTAGTTACCGGGGATCTGATGCCCCCTCTTGCCTCCAAGGACATAGCATATACATGATGCAGATGCATCCATGCAGGCAAAACACTCACGGGCAAAATAAAACACATTAAAATCTAGAAAAAAAATGTTTAGAATGAAATAAAATACCAACCAGCATCCATAGACTAGGCACCATTTCTAGTTTGGGGGATTATTTTACTACTTTTAAGTTATGGGCAATAAATATACAAACTAGATATTTTATAAATTATGGAATTTTCATTCTTGTTTCAGAAGCAGCAGAGTCCAAAATCAAGGGGTTGGCAGATTTCAAGACTAAAGAAGGTCCATCTTGTAAACTGCAAACTCACAGGGTCAAAGAGAACTCTGCTGTCTTTAACTCTTATAAGGGCTCCAGCCATGTGAAAATTACTACCTCTTTATCATCCAGTCACCTTCCCCAAATCCCAATCTCCTAATTACCATGGTCATTGTATTTCACTATCTGAATTTTAGTTGTATTTTTGGCACTTGGAGCTGCTTTTGAATCAAGGATGTGCAGCTCCTGCTCTGAATCTTATTTTTTTTATTGAGAAAAATGCTTTATTCATTTTACATATCAATCAAAGATCCCCCTCTTTCCTCCTCCCGTCCCTTCAGCCTCCCCCTCCCAACCCACTCTCCATTCCCTCTTTTAAGAAGATATGGCCTCCCACAGGGAGGTACATTTAGTAGAGGCAGGTCCAGGCCCCTTCCCCTGCCTCAAGGCGGTGCCAGGTGTCCCATCATAGGTAACGAGCTCCAAAAACCCTGCTCATGCACCAGGGATGAATTCTGATCCTACTACCGGAAGGTGGGGGAGGGGCTTACCCCAACTGTCATCATAGAGCCTTTCTCCAGGAACTGATGGAAGCAGATGCAGAGACCATAGCCACACACCAGGCCAAGCGCCAGGAATCCAGTCAAAGAGAGAAGAGGGATTCTATGAGCGAGGGCATCAAGATCATGATGGGGAAACCTACAGAGACACCCAAACTAGTGGGAACTCACGAAATTTAGATCAACAGCTGTGGAGCCTGAATGGGCCTGGATGTCCCTCTGCATAGAGAGATACTTCTGCTTCGCATCTTATATTTAATTTTTAATTTTTTCCCTCACTGAAACATGATCAGTGCTTCAGATAGTAAAATAACATTATTCTTTTCATATTTTATTTTTGTATTATATAATTTATTCAAAATTACTATCTGCCCTTATATAAATAAGATAAACAAAAAGAGTGCATTTTCCTCTTCTGTATTTATTACTATTGATATTTGATAATTAGGGATTAGCTATAAGGCATGAGGTAGGATATAAAATACATTTTATCTTCCATAACCTATATGATACTTATTTTATGATTTCTTGAACAATAATTTTTTAATTTTTCAAATGCTACAATTAGCTATTAATAAATTACTCTGTATTCAAGTACAAATTTGGATTTTATGTGTGTATAGCTTTACTTCTTGTATATTAATACACTTGAACATGATTGAGGTAATTTAATAGGATGCTCCATTTTCTAGAATGTAGCTGGGGATATTTTCCTTATTTAGTTTCTCAACTTTTTTTTGAAATTTCATTATTTAAAATATATTTTTATATAACATCATTTATACAACAATAATTATAATATTATGTATATAACATCATTTGAGAATTTCATACTTGTATTCAATATATTTTGATCATCTCTACCCATCACCCATCCAACACTTCCTTGTTTCACCAGTTGGCTCCTGTTATATTTGGTATTTGGGGGGTCTGCCACCCAGTTCCCCAATAAATCTCCCACGAGGCTTATTCTTACTTATAAATGCCCAGCTTTAGCTTGGCTTAGTTTCTAGGCAGATTTCCTTAACTTAAATTATCCCATCCACCTTTTGCCTCTGGGCTTTTCCCATTCTCTTACTTCCATAAATCTTACTCTTACTCAGTGGTTTGCCATGTAGCTGGGTGGCTGGCCCCTGGAGTCCTCCTCCTCTGACTGCTAGATTTTTTTTCTTCTCCCAGATTTCTCCCTCTATATATTCTCTCTGCCTGCCAGCCCCACCTATCCTTTCTCCTGCCGTGCTATTGGCCTGTTCTTTATTAGACCATACAGTGTTTTACACAGACACAGTAACACAGCCTCACAGAGTTAAACAAATGCAACAGAAAGAAAGTAACACACCCTAAAATAATATTCTACTACAAACTCCCTACTTTTTGTTCTCTTTATTTTGCTAATAGTTACTCAGGTTTAGGTGGGACTCCATGATCACTCACCGATCCAAGCTGAAATTTGACTAGCTTGATCTTGGGCAAGTCTTGTTCATGCAAACATTACTGTTTTCTGACCACAAATGCAAAATCCCTATCCAGGAAAAAATGTTTCTCTGCAGCAATACTTCCCAATTTCTGGCACTTATAATCTTTCTGTGTCTTTTCCTTCATAATGGAATATAGGTTTGCATGCATTTTCTACCAAAGTAATTTTGCACTTGGTAAACGAGGAAAATGACATTTCTTCTTAAATTTCGTACATTTTCTTTTGCTCATCTTTAGTTGTGTTTACTGTCTTATAATATTGAACATAAGTGAATTTGCCAATGTTCTTGTCCTGTTAATGATGCACAAATGATTTAATTTGCTAGGTCTAGATTTACTCACTTTGTATACATAGTAAGACTAATATTGACAATAGATTTCCTTTCTTCTACTATTTTTATAAACAATTGACATAATGAGGTTGAAGCAGTAGCTCAGAGGTTAAGAGCATTTGCTGTTCTTGAAGAAGACCTGGTTTCCATTCCCAATACATGCAAGGTGACTCACAAAGATCTGTATGTCCAGTCCAAAGTGGTCTGATATACTCTTTGACCTCTTTATGGTATCCATACATACAAGCAAGACAAACACATTTACAAATTAAATAAAATCTTTAAAAAATAATATGCATAAGATTGTGCCAGACATCAAAATTCTGCAAAGTTCTCTATTCATTAGTATGTATATAATACAAATTATGTGCATAGCATATACATAGATACTTAGTATATCTGCATATATACATATGCAAGATATGATTGTCTGCAAGAAGCCTTTACAGAAGGCACGTAGGGATGATTTTACCCAGAGAAGATTTTGACTACTTATGTAAGCTTTTGAATTGGCATGAGACTCTAGTTTTCCAATATGTCTTGAGTAACATATATTTAGGAATTCATCAGTTTAATCTAAAGTTTCAAGTTTATTGGCATAAGGTTTATAAAAATCTTTATTTTCTTTCTTGAGCGCACAACATTTAAGTACTGAGTTTTCTACTTCCAAATATTTGTGCATTTCTTTCTCTTTGTTCTAACTCAACCTTCTTGTGCCAATTCTGAGTCTTTTCAAGGAGCCAACTCTTGTTTTAATTGGTCCTTTCTAGTACAAGTTCTAGTTTGTAATTTAATGAAACTTTGTTCTTATATTTACTATTTGTTCTGTAGTCTTCTGATTTGTAGGTTTATATTTTATTGTTATTTGGTTAAATTCATTTACTTATATTCTTGTGCCTGTATAGGTGTAGGAGAATGTGCTTGAACACATGTGATAGGTATGGAGGTTGAAGGAGAGAGTGCAGGAGTTGGTTCTCTCCTTTTAGCATGTAGATTCCACAGATTGAACTCTGGTCATCAGACTTAGCAGCAAGAAGCTTATATGTCCAAATCCCTTCCTTAACTCTTCCCAGATCCACCCCGACATCTCTGACATCAGTTAGGAGATGGGGGAAAGCTCACGAAACCCTCCTCCATCCATGCCAAGATGTTGACTGGATTGATATTGTACAGGTTGTGTGCAGGTAACCACAACTGCTATGAGTTTCTAAGTGCTGTTAGATCCAGAAGACATTTTATACTCAGATCTTCCTAAACATGTGGATATTAGGCTCATTCTCCTCTATCTTCCTCAATGGTCCTTGAGCCCTGTAAAGTGGGCGTGGTATAAATGCTCCATGTGGAACACTCCCCAGTCATTGACTCTGTGCACTTTGACGAGTTGTGAGGTTCTGAATTAACTGTCACCTACTGCACAAAGAAACTTCTCTGATAGGTTTGAGAGTTGCAATAATTTACTGGTGGAGAGATAAGAATTTTGAGGACACTTTGACACTATGTCCATTTACCACAATAATAGTAATAGTTTTAGCCCCGAGAACCTTGAGCTAACGAACATTTTTAGAACCAGCATGTGTTTCTTCCCGTGGAGGAGTCCTTACATCAATCAGAAAGTGGGTGGTGACAACCATAATATTTATGCCATGATTGTACTCGTTGCATATATGGCTTTCTCAATCATTGTTGCTGGTCATAGGATTCACAGTTGGATAAGACTGTTGAAGACTCCTCCTACTCCTAGCAGCGTGCATCACACCTTCCAGTACAAGGAGAACAAGCCAGAAGAAAGAAGCTTGCTCATCAGTATTTAGTTGATTTCTTTGTGTTCCATGACTAATATATGTGGTGCCTTCAGCAACTGGGCCTTACCATCAAGTTCTTTGGGGCAACCAAGAGAGATGGTAACAGCCCTGTAGTATTCGGGGGGGGGGGGGTTCCTAGATATCTTTGACCAACAAATGGAAAGGAGGTAACCCACAGTTTTTATTTAGTAATGTATGGCTTCTGAGATTAGCATTGTTCCTTTTTTAGATTAAGTGCAATAATTCAAATAAACTTTTTTACTTGAGAGATAGACAATAGACAGATAGAGAGATAGTTTAGGTACTTGACAAAATAGTATGTGTTCATAATGAAATTTTCTGTGTTGACTTTGCTAAAACCCACTGAAAGACAATCCCCAGAATTTGTCAGAATTCTCTTTACCACAAATTTCTAGTAATGGTAGATTCTCCCAGCAAGTTCTAGTGTCAATTTTGCAACATACACACCCATTGTAGCTATTTTATAAAACTCTAATATAGGGTTTTTTCTATCAATGACATGCAGGATGAATTTCCTCAAATAAGTTGATTTTTGGATTGATCAGATGGATCCTGGTTAATAGTGAAGACCCTCTTTCAAATCAGGTCTAAGTGCCCCTGAACATCAAGCGATGAGTGGCTGGTGGGTCTGCAAAACTCCTTGTTTCTTTCCTGACTTTCATCTTGAATTAGAAACCTCAGTCCATGCTGTCTGAAGTTCCTGCCTGTTCCCTGCACTGCCTTCTTTTGCTGGTCTCCTAGTCTGCCTTCTCTAGTGAAAAAAAAGTCAATATATTTTAAGGGATCATTTCAGAATTATGTTAATATTCTCTATTCAAAGTTCCATGACTTATACTTAATCTATCCATCTAAAATAAACTAGTGTCTGCTAGGTGGTGGTGTCCCATGCCTTTAATCTCAGCACTAGGGAGGCAGTGGCAGGTGGATCTCTGTCAGTTAGAAACCTACTCTAAGTATAGAGTGAGTTCCATGACAGCCAGAGATACACAGTGAAATCCTGTCTCAAATAAATAAATAAATAAATAAATAAATAAATAAATAAATGAATAAATAAATAAAATTAGTGTTGTTCTGAAAATATAATGTCATAATAACTATATTTTCTTTTTTATAGCATTCACTTCAATTAGATATTGAAGTGGAAGATATTTTAATTGTATGTTTTGTTTGTTTTTATTTTTCCCATGAAAATTACTATTAACACCTGAGTGTAGAAGTTCATTGTTTTTCTACTGAATAGTTGACAGTTTTATTCTAATAACTGGAAACAAATCACCAT